CAACAGTATCTCGGACCTGCCTGGTGTGTTTCGTTTGTCTTCATAGTTCTCTCTGCGCTTTAAACAGAACCCTGAGACTATCAAAGAGCAGGTGCATTTATACGGAGACTTGATTACACACAGGTGCATTCTATTTATCATCATCAGTCATTTAGGACAACATTGGATCATTCAAAGATCCTCACTGAACTTCTGGACTGAGTTTGCTGCACTGAAAGTAAAGGGGCCGAATAATATTGCACGCCCCACTTTTCAGTTCTTTATTTGTTAAAAAAGTTTAAATTATCCAATAAATTTCGTTCCACTTCACGATTGTGTCCCACTTGTTGTTGATTCATGACAAAAAATTAAAATGTTATATCTTTATGTTTGAAGCCTGAAATGTGGCGAAATGTTGAAAGTTTACTAAGGAATACTTTTGCAGGGCACTGTATGTATCCCCACATGGTTTTCCCCTCTGCTCTTAAATGCATCTGCTGTCCCTGTCTCAGTATGATCTGGTTTCCATGGTTACAGGCAGTAACCAGTTTTTTTATTTTACATGAGACTTATATTAAACTGTCTATTCTTTATCATACATTTGCATTTTTTCTTTCTCAGATTTAAACTTCAAGCCGAGGTAATGACCTTCCCCTTCCCAGACAAGTCTCTCTGGTGACTGTCTTTGGTCTCTCTCTGGTCTTTCTCTGGCCACTTTCTCTGATCTCTCTCTGGTCCCTCGCTGGTCTCTCTGTCTGGTCTTTTCCTGGTCTCTCTCTCTAGTCTCTCTCTTTTCTCTCAATCTGGTGTCTCTCTAGTCTTTCTTTGGTCTCTCTCTGGTCCCTCTCTTTTCTCTTTCTCTGGTCTCTCTGGTCACTCTCTCTGGCCTCTCTTTTACAATCGGGGGTTTTTCCAGAAGGAATGAAGACTGCGAAAGTGATTCCTATTCACAAGGCTGGTGATGAACAGAAATTCACTAATTATAGACCTATTTCCATTCTGTCACAGTTTTCCAAGATCCTGGAGAAGATCTTCCATAAAAGATTATTCCAGTTATGTAGATAAGCAAAATATTATTTGTGAACAGCAGTATGGTTTTAGACCCGATAGGACCACTACCTTAGCATTAGTGGACCTTTTAGAAAAAATATCAAATGCTATAGCCGATAAACAATATGCTGTTGGTGTGTTCCTAGACCTAACCAAAGCTTTTGATACAGTGAATCATGAATTGCTACTTCAAAAACTGTACAGATATGGGATTAGAGGAGTGGCTTTTTCTTGGCTCCAGACTTATTTGAAGAACAGATCCCAGTATGTCCACACCAATGGCACTGATTCCCAGCTGCTGACAGTTTCCTGCGGGCTGCCACAGGGGTCAGTGTTGGGTCCGTTTTTGTTTCTTATGTATATTAACGATCTGTGTTTAGTTTCAAAAACATTAAACCTTATTTTATTCGCTGATGACACCAACATGCTTAGTTGTGGTAATAATTTAGAAGCATTGATAGATATAGTAGAGAAAGAATTATTATTGTTAAAGAAGTGGTTTGATTCTAATAAGTTAACCCTTAATTTAAATAAAACCAAATTTATAGTTTTTGGAAATCGTGCCATTAATGTGTGTAGAAATTTAAGAATAAATTATACTGAGATAGAACGAGTGAATGAAATAAAATTTCTTGGAGTACTTTTACAAAATAAGCTTAGCTGGAAGCCCCATATAAACTACATCAAGGCAAAGCTATGTAAATCTCTTGCAATAATATCTAAAGTTAAAGAACTCTTAAATGAAAACAACTTATATATGTTATACTGTTCCCTGGTTCTCCCGTACATGACCTATGGCCTAGAAGTTTGGGGAAACACTTACAAAACTAATCTTAATCCAATAAGTATCATCCAAAAAAGAGCGATCCGCATTGTGAATAAAGTGGCTTACAGGGCACATACAAATGAGCTTTTCATCAAACTAAAAGCACTAAAATTGAAGGATTTGGTTGAGTTTAAAACAGCACAATTTATGTATAACATAAGCTATAACAAGTTACCTGTGCATATCCAGGGATTGTTCCAAAAACGAGACTGCGTTTACAATTTCCGAAAGGAAGAAATGTTTCAAAAAACATATGTGAGAACGAGTGCAAAGCAGCATTGTCTTTCTTTTGTTGGGATTAATGTGTGGAGTGAGTTGGACCAAGAGCTAAAAGACTAAAACCTTAATTCAATTTAAAATTCTTTTGAAGAAATCAATTATAAAAAAATACATTGAGAATGGATGCTAAGGATGCAAACTTAAGATGATAGATTGTTTTTCTTTCTTCTTTGTGACGATCTAAAAACAAAAATTGTATAACTACTTGCATAAGACATTGGCAGCTTTACTGTTTATGTTTTGTAAATACTCTGGGATAGGCGCAATAAGCTTTAGCTTCTGCCTATTCCATTTCAGACTTTATCTTTATTTATCATCTGTTTGGCATCTGTTGAATGTTTGAATGTCTGAATAAAATAATCTGAATCTGAATCTTTTATCTCTTTCGCTGGTCTCTCTCTCTAGTCTCTCTCTGGTCTCTCTCTCTGGTCTCTTCCTGGTCTCTCTTTAGTCTCTCTGTTCTCTCTCTAGTCCCTCTCTTTTTCTGATCTCTTTAGTCTCTCCCCAATCTCTCTCGAGTCTCTCTCTCTGCCCTTTTTTTTAGTCTCTCTCTCTTTTCTCTTTCTCTGGTCTCTCTCTGGTCTCTCCCTGGTCTCTCTCTCTGGTCTCTCTCCCAGACTTCCCTCTCCCCAGACACCTCCTGTAATCACACATGTTCTGTTCTTGTGTTGCAGCCGGTTCCAGAAGACGGTGAGACCCAGTGACCTGTGCCATATAAATAAATCTAAACTCATAATCACGTTGAGCTTTATTCTGATTTTGTAGATTTCAAACACAAAAGTTTCCCTCTTCACAATAAGAGCATGAGACCATCAGTGACCAGCAGGTACCCCCCTCCCTTCTGCACAAATGCTCTGCTCTCAAACACCTCACCTCCCTGGTCTCTCTCTGTCTCTGGTCTCTATGGTCTCTTTCTCTGGTCTATCTCTGGTCTCTCTCTCTCTGGTCTTTCTCTCTCTGGTCTCTCTCTCTCTGGTCTCTCTCTCTCTGGTCTCTCTGTCTGGTCTTTCTCTCTCTCTGGTCTCTCTCTGGTCTCTCTCTCTGGTCTCATTTAGATCCCTGGTTTGATTACATTTTTATCATTTAATTCTATTTTTCATGACTTTTTAATTCCTTCCTTATTATTCGAGCTTTGAGCCGAAGAGTGCTATACAAATAACTCTCCCTCCCTCCTCAGTCTCCCCCCTGGACTCCCCTCTGGTCTCCCCCCTGGACTCCCCTCTGGACTCCCCTCTGGTCTCCCCCCTGGACTCCCCTCTGGACTCCCCTCGGCTCCTCGCTTCTCAGGTCCTCTTGGATGTTGAATGTTGTTTTCGAATCATTAAAAACAGATGATGTAACTGTGTGTGACTCCAGGGGGCGCTGCAGCTGCAGAGAGACCCGCTCCAAAACAGGTCTATGTAGTCCTAGTTCATTCCTGGTCCAGACCCTGTCCATATCGGGTCCAGACCCGGTCCAGACCTGGTCTAGACTTGGTCCTTACCTGTTTCTCCTCAGGACCTGGACTCTCTGTGGTACGTGGGGAAAGTGACTCGAGCTGAAGCTGAAGCGACTCTGCAGCGACTGGGGAAGGTACAACCCCTCTGTGGTCCTCTCTGTGGTCCTCTCCCTCGGTCCTCTGTGGTCCTCTCTGTGGTCCTCTCTGTGGTCCTCTCTGTGGTCCTCTCTGTGGTCCTCTCTGTGGTCCTCTCTGTGGTCCTCTCTGTGGTCCTCTCTGTGGTCCTCTCTGTGGTCCTCTCTGTGGTCCTCTCTGTGGTCCTCTCTGTGGTCCTCTCTGTGGTCCGCTCTGTGGTCTTCTCTGTGGTCCTCTCTGTGGTCCTCTCTGTGGTCCTCTCTGTGGTCCTCTCTGTGGTCCTCTCTGTGGTCCTCTCAGTGGTCCTCTCTGTGGTCCTCTCTGTGGTCCTCTCTGTGCTCCTCTCTGTGCTCCTCTCTGTGCTCCTCTCTGTGGTCTTCTCTGTGGTCCTCTCTGTGGTCCTCTCTGTGGTCCTCTCTGTGGTCCTCTCTGTGCTCCTCTCTGTGGTCCTCTCAGTGGTCCTCTCTGTGGTCCTCTCTGTGGTCCTCTCTGTGGTCCTCTCTGTGGTCCTCTCTGTGGTCCTCTCTGTGGTCCTCTCTGTGGTCCTCTCAGTGGTCCTCTCAGTGGTCCTCTCTGTGGTCCTCTCCCTCGGTCCTCTCTGTGGTCCTCTCAGTGGTCCTCTCTGTGGTCCTCTCTGTGGTCCTCTCAGTGGTCCTCTCCCTCTGTCCTCTCAGTGGTCCTCTCCCTCGGTCCTCTCAGTGGTCCTCTCAGTGGTCCTTTCTGTGGTCATCTCTGTGGTCCTCTCCCTCGGTCCTCTCTGTGGTCCTCTCCCTCGGTCCTCTGTGGTCCTCTCAGTGGTCCTCTCCCTCGGTCTCTCTGTGGTCCTCTCTGTGGTCCTCTCAGTGGTCCTCTCAGTGGTCTTCTCTGTGGTCCTCTCTGTGGTCCTTTCAGTGGTCCACTCTGTGGTCCTCTCAGTGGTCCTTTCAGTGGTCCTCTCTGTGGTCCTCTCCCTCGGTCCTCTGTGGTCCTCTCTGTGGTCTTCTCAGTGGTCCTCTCCCTCGGTCCTCTCTGTGGTCCTCTCTGTGGTCCTCTCAGTGGTTCTCTCAGTGGTCCTCTCTGTGGTCCTCTCCCTCGGTCCTCTCTGTGGTCCTCTCTGTGGTCCTCTCTGTGGTCCTCTCTGTGGTCCTCTGTGGTCCTCTCTGTGGTCCTCTCTGTGGTCCTCTCTGTGGTCCTCTCTGTGGTCCTCTCAGTGGTCCTCTCAGTGGTCCTCTCTGTGGTCCTCTCCCTCGGTCCTCTCTGTGGTCCTCTCTGTGGTCCTCTCCCTCGGTCCTCTCAGTGGTCCTCTCAGTGGTCCTCTCTGTGGTCCTCTCCCTCGGTCCTCTGTGGTCCTCTCAGTGGTCCTCTCCCTCGGTCTCTCTGTGGTCCTCTCTGTGGTCCTCTCAGTGGTCCTCTCAGTGGTCTTCTCTGTGGTCCTCTCTGTGGTCCTTTCAGTGGTCCACTCTGTGGTCCTCTCAGTGGTCCTTTCAGTGGTCCTCTCTGTGGTCCTCTCTGTGGTCCTCTCCCTCGGTCCTCTCTGTGGTCCTCTCTGTGGTCCTCTCAGTGGTCCTCTCCCTCGGTCCTCTCTGTGGTCCTCTCTGTGGTCCTCTCAGTGGTTCTCTCAGTGGTCCTCTCTGTGGTCCTCTCTGTGGTCCTCTCCCTCGGTCCTCTCTGTGGTCCTCTCAGTGGTCCTCTCTGTGGTCCTCTCCCTCGGTCCTCTCCCTCGGTCCTCTCTGTGGTCCTCTCAGTGGTCCTCCCCCTCTGTCCTCTCTGTGGTCCTCTCTGTGGTCCTCTCTGTGGTCCTCTCTGTGGTCCTCTCTGTGGTCCTCTCTGTGGTCCCCTCAGTAGGACCACTCAGCGACGTCATGAGTTTTTATTGCCGCATAAGCGAAACTCATTATGTCAAACCCGTTATTATTATAGATCCATGCGCCAAAACCCATTTGTTTATTTTACGGCCTTAACCGCTCCTGTTGTTGTTGTCTTTGAGTTTTTCTTATTGTCCTACTTTAGTTTTTTTAAAGTTTTCCCGGCTTGTTTTGGAGCGTGATGAATCCCCAGGGTTTTGAGGTGAAGCTGATATGTCTTAATATATCTTTTCATATCGCTGCGATGCCTCAAACCCTCAAACCCCGCCTGAATCACTGTGCTGTTGTTCGCTGTTTCCAGTGGTGTCTGCTGGGCCAATGCTGCTGGGCCAATACTGCTGGGCTAATGCTGCTGGGCCAATGCTGCTGGGCCAATGCTGCTGGGCTAATGCTGCTGGGCCAATGCTGCTGGGCCAATACTGCTGGGCTAATGCTGCTGGGCTAATGCTGCTGGGCTAATGCTGCTGGGCCAATGCTGCTGGGCTAATGCTGCTGGGCCAATGCTGCTGGGCCAATGCTGCTGGGCCAATGCTGCTGGGCCAATGCTGCTGGGCTAATGCTGCTGGGCTAATGCTGCTGGGCTAATGCTGCTGGGCCAATGCTGCTGGGCCAATGCTGCTGGGCCAATGCTGCTGGGCTAATGCTGCTGGGCTAATGCTGCTGGGCTAATGCTGCTGGGCCAATGCTGCTGGGCCAATGCTGCTGGGCCAATGCTGCTGGGCCAATACTGCTGGGCCAATGCTGCTGGGCCAATGCTGCTGGGCTAATGCTGCTGGGCTAATGCTGCTGGGCTAATGCTGCTGGGCCAATGCTGCTGGGCCAATGCTGCTGGGCCAATGCTGCTGGGCCAATGCTGCTGGGCCAATGCTGCTGGGCCAATGCTGCTGGGCCAATGCTGCTGGGCCAATGCTGCTGGGCCAATGCTGCTGGGCCAATGCTGCTGGGCCAATGCTGCTGGGCCAATGCTGCTGGGCCAATGCTGCTGGGCCAATGCTGCTGGGCCAATGCTGCTGGGCCAATGCTGCTGGGCCAATGCTGCTGGGCCAATGCTGCTGGGCTAATGCTGCTGGGCTAATGCTGCTGGGCTAATGCTGCTGGGCTAATGCTGCTGGGCTAATGCTGCTGGGCTAATGCTGCTGGGCTAATGCTGCTGGGCTAATGCTGCTGGGCCAATGCTGCTGGGCCAATGCTGCTGGGCCAATGCTGCTGGGCTAATGCTGCTGGGCCAATGCTGCTGGGCCAATGCTGCTGGGCCAATGCTGCTGGGCCAATGCTGCTGGGCCAATGCTGCTGGGCCAATGCTGCTTGGCCAATGCTGCTGGGCCAATGCTGCTGGGCCAATGCTGCTGGGCCAATGCTGCTGGGCTAATGCTGCTGGGCTAATGCTGCTGGGCTAATGCTGCTGGGCTAATGCTGCTGGGCCAATGCTGCTGGGCTAATGCTGCTAGGCCAATGCTGCTGGGCCAATGCTGCTAGGCTAATGCTGCTAGGCCAATGCTGCTGGGCCAATGCTGCTGGGCCAATGCTGCTGGGCTAATGCTGCTGGGCTAATGCTGCTGGGCTAATGCTGCTGGGCTAATGCTGCTGGGCTAATGCTGCTGGGCTAATGCTGCTGGGCTAATGCTGCTGGGCCAATGCTGCTAGGCCAATGCTGCTGGGCCAATGCTGCTAGGCTAATGCTGCTGGGCTAATGCTGCTGGGCCAATGCTGCTGGGCCAATGCTGCTAGGCTAATGCTGCTGGGCCAATGCTGCTGGGCCAATGCTGCTAGGCTAATGCTGCTGGGCTAATGCTGCTAGGCTAATGCTGCTAGGCTAATGCTGCTAGGCTAATGCTGCTGGGCCAATGCTGCTAGGCTAATGCTGCTAGGCTAATGCTGCTAGGCTAATGCTGCTGAATGCCGATTGTTTTGGTGCTTTTTGCTGGCGTCTGAGCGTCAGAGCCTGCGCTAGCTTTAGCCAATCAGCGCCGGGTTAACCTCAAGTCCCACCAGGGCCCAGCCAAGCCCCGGCGATCCAAGATGGCGCTGTATTCAAATGAATGTTTGTGCTCAGTGGCGCTTTGTGACGGCATGGGGGCTGAAAGATTAGCAGAACTCTACCTGGAACTCGCAAAGATCCATGGGAACTTTCCTGTATTTGAGCATCGTCTGGTCCTCCCGGTTCTGCGCAGTGGATGAACTCCCATGATGCTTTGCGCAGAATACGCGTGCGTGGCTTTCAGGCACGTGCACAGAGGGGCTCGGCCGCGCTCTGACCAATCAGAGCTGCTGATCAGAGCGGGAGTTAGAGCGAGAGCCAGACGAGCAGAGTTTGTGGCACTAAAGTGTGGATTTAAACAAAACCGAAGAAGATTTAAGAAGAAAAAAAGTTCAGGATGACAAAGGACACTAAAATCCCCACATCCAACCTTTGTGAAAGCTGTAGGTTCTCTGTCAGGTTCTCTGTCAGCTGAGGTCGAGCTGTTTTAGTTTACATTGAGTCCTATGGGGAAAATGTCTGTGTAGCCCACGTGAGTCTGGTTCAGTCTGGTTCAGTCTGCAGTACCACGAGAATCCCCTGAGCACATGAGTTATTCAGCTACAAGCTGTAATACCCTATCCAGTTATTATAATAGATCCATGTGCCCAACATAGCACATACCATAGAGGAGGGACTCCGTTGGGCCCCGTAAAAGTTCCTGGAAATGGCCCTGTTGGGACCTGCAGTGGAGACACGCACCGACGGGGCTGGGCCTGGAAAATTACCCCAAAGTTCCTGCAGTGGAAACGCGGCTAAAGAAAGTTGCAGAGTTCTGTTGGTTTGGGCTGAAAGTTACGTAGCCCGGCTTTAAACGCCACAGTACACAGGGCTGTTACTCTGTTTGTTGATGTTGTGACTATGGAGGACAGGGCCTTCAGGGTCCATGTCTAAACCTGCTGTGAACCCGGTCTAAACCCAGTCTAAACCCAGTCTAAACCCAGTCTAAACCCAGTCTAAACCCAGTCTAAACCCAGTCTAAACCCAGTCTAAACCCAGTCTAAACCCAGTCTAAACCCAGTCTAAACCCAGTCTAAACCCAGTCTAAACCCAGTCTAAACCCAGTCTAAACCTGCTGTAAACCCGGTCTAAACCCAGTCTAAACCCAGTCTAAACCCAGTCTAAACCCAGTCTAAACCCAGTCTAAACCCAGTCTAAACCCAGTCTAAACCCAGTCTAAACCCAGTCTAAACCCAGTCTAAACCCAGTCTAAACCCAGTCTAAACCCGGTCTAAACCCAGTCTAAACCCAGTCTAAACCCAGTCTAAACCCAGTCTAAACCCAGTCTAAACCCAGTCTAAACCCAGTCTAAACCCAGTCTAAACCCGGTCTAAACCCAGTCTAAACCCAGTCTAAACCCAGTCTCTTGTTTTTAAGGACGGGGCCTTCGTGGTCCGGGACAGCTCCAGGCTCTCTGCTCATCAGCCCTTCACTCTCATGGTCCAGTTCCAACACAAAGTCTACAACATCCAGATCCAGAGACCGGACCACAAGTACCTGCTGGGGACCGGGCTCAAAGTGCAGGAGGTCTGGACCAGGACTGGACCCGGACTGAAGCAGGACTGAATCAGGACTAAAACAAGTCTAAAGCAGGACCAAAGCAGAACTAAAAAAAAGTCTAAAACAAGTCTTAAGCAGGACTAAAGCAGGACTAGGACTAAAGCAGGACTAAATCAGGACTAAATCCGGACAAAAGCAGGACTAGGACTAAAGCAGGACTAAATCAGAACTAAAGCAGGACAAAAGCAGAACTAAATCAGGACTAAAGCAGGACTAAAGCAGGACTAGGACTAAAGCAGGACTAAAGCAGGACTAGGACTAAAGCAGGACTAAATCAGGACTAAAGCAGGACTAAATCAGGACTAAATCAGGACTAAATCAGGACTAAAGCAGGACTAAATCAGGACTAAATCAGGACTAAAGCAGGACTAAATCAGGACTAAATCAGGACTAAATCAGGACTAAAGCAGGACTAAAGCAGGACTAAAGCAGGACTAAAGCAGGACTAAAGCAGGACTAAAGCAGGACTAAATCAGGACTAAACCCGGTCTCTTGTGTTCCAGTCCTTCTCCACGGTCCGGGACATGGTGGACCACTTCTCTCAGTCTCCTCTGATCCTCATCGACTCCAAGAACCGAGACTCAAGTCTCCACAGCCAGTGTCTGCTGTCTGTCCCCGCCGGACCGTACATGGACCGGTTCTGAATCGGGTCTGGACCAGGTCCAGGTGGATTGTCTCTGCCAGGGAGAAGTGCTCACTAAAACAGATTCACACACATTGTACAGAACAAAATACTAGAAAAACAGACTTAATTTTTATTTTTGTTTTTAGTTGAGACCTGGTTCAACTGATTATAAACTATTTTATTTATATGATTGTGGTTGTTGTCATTTCAATGAGATCCTGTGGGAGTAGATTGGAACCAGAACCAGGACCAGGACTGGGACCAGGATTAGGACTTGGCTCAGGACCAGCACTGGGACCAGCACTGGGACCAGGACAGGGACCTGGACCAGGAGCAGAACTGAGACTGTCCCAGGGCAACAAGGACATTATTAGCTTGTGGCTAACTTGTGGTTAGCATGTATTAGCATGTCGTTAGCATGTGAAAGAGCGCCACACTCCTCTGTTTGTGTGTAAACATTCACTCTCCGTCTGAGCAGACACCACACGCGTGGGCCAGAGGGAGACCACCAGAGAGAGACCAGAGGGAGAACAGAAGGAGACCAGAAGGAGACCAGAGAGAAAGCAGAGGGAATCACATTTTAACAGACTGCACTAACATTTGGTATTGAACAGTGGGAGAAGCTTTGGTTTAACTGTCCCGCTTCTACAGCTTTGAGATCCACGTGTCATCCAGCCAACTTCAGCTTCGTCTCATGGTTCACTCTGGACTTGATGTAGCTAAAGTCAAGGTCGGACCAGGGACACTTCTGGTGAACTAGTCCAACATTTTGGACAGCCCTGGTTGGGCTCCTGGGTCCTGGGTCCTAGATCTTTAACTGAGGTGTCTCTGGCCTCAGGCTGAGACTCCCCTTCTCCTGGTCTCCCTCTGGTCTCTCTCTGGTCTCCCTCTGGTCTCCCTCTGGTCTCTCTCTGGTCTCCCTCTGGCCTCTCTCTGGTCTCTCTCTGGTCTCCCTCTGGTCTCCCTCTGGTCTCCCTCTGGCCTCTCTCTGGTCTCTCTCTCACCACAGACTTTATTACATTTACACAGAGAGAAAGGACAGCGTGTTGTTTGGACCCGTGTCAGCTCGGCACCACGTTGAAGACGGGAACATTTTAACTCATCGGCTGCCTTTGACGGAGTATTTGTCTGAGACTGGCGATTTCTGTCAAACTTCCCTCTATTCCACTGGGGATTACAGGAGAACAAAACTAGCTAGAAACCAACATATTTTTGCTGATGAAAGTAGACAATCCAGTCTTTCAGAATCTGGTTTCATATTTCACATAGTCATAGCACAGAATATTCTGTGGGTCTTGGGAGTCAGTGAAATCCTTAAAAACGGCTGGCAGTCATTTATCATCAAACGGAAGAATAGGTCTTCAAAATCCGTCCGTCCGTCCGTCCGTTTTCCGCCGCTTCATCCGTTGCCGGGTCGCGGGGGCAGCAGTCTAAGCAGAGACGCCCAGACTTCCCTATCCACACACACTTCCTCCAGCTCGTCCGGGGGGATCCCAAGGCGTTCCCAGGCCAGCTGAGAGACATAGTCCCTCCAGCGTGTCCTAGGTCTTCCCCGGGGCCTCCTCCCGGTGGGACGTGCCCAGGGAGGCGTCCAGGAGGCATCCGGAACAGATGCCCGAGCCACCTCAACTGGTTCCTCTCGACGTGGAGAAGCAGCGGCTCTACTCCGAACTCCTCCCGTGTGACCGAGCTCCTCACCCTATCTCTAAGGGTGCGCCCAGCCACTCTGCGGAGGAAGCTCATTTCGACCGCTTGTATCCGCGATCTCGTTCTTTAGGTCATTACCCAAAGCTCATGACCATAGGTGAGGGAGGGAACGAAGATTGACCGGTATATTGAGAGCTTTGCCTTTCGGCTCAGCTCCCTCTTTACCACAACGGTCCGATACAGAGACCGCATCACTGCGCACGCTGCACCGATCCGCCTGTCAATCTCACGCTCCATTCTTCCCTCACTCGTGAACAAGACCCCGAGATACTTGAACTCCTCCACTTGAGGAAGGACCTCTCCACCCACCTGCAGAGGGCAAGGCACCTTTTTCCGGTCGAGCACCATGGCCTCAGATTTGGAGGTGCTGATTCTCATCCCAGCCGCTTCACACTCGGCTGCAAACCGTCCCAGTGCATTCTGCAGGTCCTGGTTCGTTGGAGCCAACAGGACAACATCGTCCGCAAACAGCAGAGATGAAATCCTGTGGTCCCCGAACCGGACCCCCTCCGGCCCCTGGCTGCGCCTAGAAATTCTGTCCATGAATACAGTGAACAGAACCGGTGACAAAGGGCAGCCCTGTCGGAGGCCAACATTCACCGGGAACAGGTCTGACTTACTGCCGGCAATGCGAACACAGCTCTGGCTCCGGTCATACAGGGACCGAACGGCCCTCAGCAGAGGACCCCGGACCCCGTACTCCCGGAGAACCCCCCAAAGTACACCCCGGGGAACACGGTCGAATGCCTTCTCCAAATCCACAAAGCACATGTGGACAGGTTGGGCGAACTCCCATGAACCCTCGAGTATCCGATGGAGAGTATAGAGCTCTCTTTGACTTTGACTAGGGTCAATAATAGGGTTGTGACTTTGAAGTCTTCAAAGTCACAACCCTATTATTGAGGACCAGCAGTAGCAGTAGTAATAGTAGTAGTAGTAGTAGAGGTAGTAGTAGTAGTAGTAGAGGTAGTAGTAGTAGTAGTAGAGGTAGTAGTAGTAGTAGTAGAGGTAGTAGTGATAGTAGCAGTAGTAGTAGCAGTAGTAGTATAGTAGTAGCAGTAGTAGTAGAGGTAGTAGTAGTAGCAGTAGTAGCAGCAGTAGTATAGTAGTAGCAGTAGTAGTAGTGGTAGTAGAAGTAGTAGCAGCAGTTGCAGTAGCAGCAGTTGCAGTAGTAGTAGTAGTAGTAGCAGTAGCAGCAGCAGCAGCAGCAGCAGTAGTAGTAGTAGTAGCAGCAGTAGTAGTAGTCGTAGTAGAAGTAATAGTAGCAGTAGTAGTAGTAATAGTAGCAGTAGTAGTAGTAGTAGTAGTAGTAGTAGTAGTACCTGTTCATTGGGACTCTTGCTCCAGAGTTGCTCCTCGTAACTATGGCGACCGGAGGTCTGGCCAAGGACTGAGACTCAGGTTCAGGATGAGACCTGAGACCAGACCACAGACTTTATTACATTTACACAGAGAGAAAGGACAGCGTGTTGTTTGGACCCGTGTCAGCTCGGCACCACGTTGAAGACGGGAACATTTTAACATCAAATGGAAGAATAGGTGGGGGGCGACAGTTGGTAGAGCATTGGCCTTTGAGCCTGAAGGTCGTGTGTTCGAGCCCACCATAAGACCCACTTCACGACTCCCACTGAGTGTCGTTGTGTCCTTGGGCAAGACACTTAACCCCACTTTGCCTGAAGCCCCCCCTGAAAGATCTCAGCTCCTGTGGACTCAGCACCTGCAGGAGGATCAGTGAGGGGCTGGTGCTCTGACTGCCACCCCCCGACCCAGAAATGGATTAAGGGGAAGAAGATGGATGGATGGAAGAAACGCTATTATTGAGGACCAGAGAGTGAGTGAGTGAGTGAGTGAGTGAGTGAGTGAGTGAGTGAGTGAGTGAGTGAGTGAGTGAGTGAGTGAGTGAGTGAGTGAGTGAGTGAGTGAGTGAGTGAGTGAGTGAGTGAGTGAGTGAGTGAGAGAGTGAGTGAGTGAGTGAGTGAGTGAGTGAGTGAGTGAGTGAGTGAGTGAGTGAGTGAGTGAGTGAGTGAGTGAGTGAGTGAGTGAGTGAGTGAGTGAGTGAGTGAGTGAGTGAGTGAGTGAGTGAGTGAGTGAGTGAGTGAGTGAGTGAGTGAGTGAGTGAGTGAGTGAGTGAGTGAGTGAGTGAGTGAGTGAGTGAGTGAGTGAGTGAGTGAGTGAGTGAGTGAGTGAGTGAGTGAGTGAGTGAGTGAGTGAGTGCGTGTGCGTGTGCGTGTATTACCTCAAAGTCTGTGGCAGCGGCTGAAACACAAAACACAACTTCAGGTTTGAAGAGTTTCAAATGTGACCAAAGACCTCACCTTCTCCTGAGTGCTCCTCAGAGCTCCTGCAGAGACACAGAAGACCACATGATTAATCCACCTGAACCAGGAGAGGACCAGGACCTCTGCACCAGGAGAAGACCAGGACCTGGAGATGTTTCCCCAACGGGTCCTCCTCCTCACCCTGAGTCCCCTCTCTCCTGGGCCCTTCACTCAGATATCTCACCTCTGTTCGGAGACTGGTTTGACCCGGGATCTCGACCTGGTTTATTTACTCTGCAGATCGGGGGCGGCTGAGCAGGGACTGAAGAAAGATCTGGGTTAGACCTGCTGTAGTCCTGCTGTAGTCCTGCTGTAGTCCTACTGTAGTCCTGCTGTAGTCCTGCTGTAGTCCTGCTGTAGTCCTGCTGTAGTCCTGCTGTAGTCCTGCTTTAGACCTGCTTTAGACCTGCGCTAGACCTGCTTTAATCCTGCTTTAGACATGGGTTAGTCCTGCTTTAGTCCTGTTGTAGTCCTGCTTTAGACCTGCTTTAGACCTGCGCTAGACCTGCTTTAATCCTGCTTTAGACATGTGTTAGTCCTGCTTTAGACCTGCTTTAGTCCTACTTTAGTCCTGCTTTAGACCTGGGTTAGTCCTGCTGTAGTCCTGCTTTAGAGTCTCGCTGTAGTCCTGCTTTAGACCTGGGTTAGTCCTGCTGTAGTCCTGCTTTAGAGCCTCGCTGTAGTCCTGCTTTAGACCTGCTTTAGTCTTGCTTTGGACCTGCCTGGTCTAAAGCAGGTCCAATTTAGTCCTGGTTTAGACCTGCTTGCATCCCGTTCCTGTCCTTGTTCAGTCCTGGTTTAGACTCACATGCTCTGGGTCGTGGAGAAGAGTCTCGTCTGGACTCTGTCGGCTGAAAAAACACAATTGCACAATCAGTGGATACGGTGGGCGAGTGGAGCAGCGGCTCTACTCCGAGCTCTCCACATGTCCACCATCATCTATGTGAATCAAGATGGCTGCCACAACCTCATACTCACACGCTGGGGGGGTCGAGGACACAGTGCGGGGGGCGGGCCTCTGGAAGTCACGTGACCATCTGCAACCAATCAGAAACTGTGATTTTGTATTTGTTCGTCACCATGGCAACAGTGCACATTCTTCCTCTTGTGGTTTCTATGTCAGGGCTCTCTGCTGCCCCTGCTGTCTGTGGCCTGGTCCCGCACTCACGAGAGCTAACGGAACCCTGATCCTTCTGAACCTGAGGACCGAGTCTTCTGAACCTGAGGACCAAGTCTTCTGAACCTGAGGACCGAGTCTTCTGAACCTGAGGACCAAGTCTTCTGAACCTGAGGACCGAGTCTTCTGAACCTGAGGACCAAGTCTTCTGAACCTGAGGACCGAGTCTTCTGAACCTGAGGACCAAGTCTTCTGAACCTGAGGACCGAGTCTTCTGAACCTGAGGACCAAGTCTTCTGAACCTGAGGACCGAGTCTTCTGAACCTGAGGACCAAGTCTTCTGAACCTGAGGACCGAGTCTTCTGAACCTGAGGACCAAGTCTTCTGAACCTGAGGACCGAGTCTTCTGAACCTGAGGACCAAGTCTTCTGAACCTGAGGACCAAGTCTTCTGAACCTGAGGACCGAGTCTTCTGAACCTGAGGACCAAGTCTTCTGAACCTGAGGACCGAGTCTTCTGAACCTGAGGACCAAGTCTTCTGAACCTGAGGACCGAGTCTTCTGAACCTGAGGACCGATGGGGCGTTCAGACCGCCGACGCTTGAAAGTAACTTCCATGCGCACTGGACGCACATTCACTAAATTTCAGACGCAGAATGAAGTGCTGCCCTGCTTTTGCACACGGCAGAAGGGCTTTGATACTAACTGAGTAAAGCTAGCAACTTTTTGTGTAAAGTTCTTCTCCAAGAATGCAGCTCTGCAGCGTCTGTGTGTCTGAGACTTTATATAACAGCAGGATGTGTTCACAGCGGTGCAGCATACGTTTATTTTATTTTTAGACGGTACTTCTGTATCGCGAACACGTTAGCAGCTCTTGTTTACCGTCACTGGAGAATGAGAACTCAGGCTGGAGGCATATGTTCACAAGCACTGTGTCCCCCATTGTTAGTCCTGGTCCTGGTTTAGTCCTGGTCTAGCTCGTGTTTTGGCTGTTTATGAGTATGTTCAGTCTGCTCGCTCATGGGGCGTTCAGACCGCCAACGCTGGAACGCAGCTTCAGCGCGCACTAGACGCATTCTCTAAATTTCAGACTTTAGGGGTGTTCAGACCAGAAGTCCTGACCTGCGGTGACGCCCGGCGGAAGTGCTTTGATGCACGGGTCGGCACCGGGCACCCGCGGGGTAGAGCCGGCACATCCCGGTCGTCAATGGGCCTAGCCCGGGCGCGCACGCGCCTTCATGCGCTCTCAATGCGCGCCCCCTCACCGGTGCCGCTCCCCCCGCTGGCCTCAGTCCCCCGCTGGCCTCAGTCCCCCGCTGGCCTCAGTCCCCCGCTGGCCTCAGTCCCCCGCTGGCCTCAGTCCCCCGCTGGCCTCAGTCCCCCGCTGGCCTCAGTCCCCCGCTGGCCTCAGTCCCCCGCTGGCCTCAGTCCCCCGCTGGCCTCAGTCCCCCGCTGGCCTCAGTCCCCCGCTGGCCTCAGTCCCCCGCTGGCCTCAGTCCCCCGCTGGCCTCAGTCACCCGCTGGCCTCAGTCCCCCGCTGGCCTCAGTCCCCCGCTGGGCTCAGTCACCCGCTGGCCTCAGTCCCCCGCTGGCCTCAGTCCCCCGCTGGGCTCAGTCACCCGCTGGCCTCAGTCCCCCGCTGGCCTCAGTCCCCCGTGGTCTCTGGCTGGCGGTGCTCGTCCTCGTCCTTGGCCCGGTCCCGTGTCCTCCTCCTCTGGTGCTGTCTGTCTCCTCTTCCCTTGCTGCAGTGCCCGCCCCCAATTAAAAGGTCTTGATGATTAAAAACAGGTGTGGGTGTGGGTGTCCAAAGAACTGATTAAAATGCATGCAATAAAAACATTAAAACACAGCAAAACACACGAAAAATAAAAGCAGTAAAAGTCCTTGTTAAAAAGTTTAATCTCTCACATCACCATTGACCATTGTCGCAGCAACACATGATTCGGTCTGAACGCCCATCAGACCGCTAGTGTCCCTGTGACCACTTTACGGCTCTCTGATTGGTTCAGTGTTGTCCATTTCCTGCCTAAGCTTCTGTCGCGCCGCAACGCCGCCTCTGCCGCGCAGTCCGTGCGTGCTGCGACGCATATGCAGTTCCAAGCTCGGACGCCACCATTAACTTTGCTTTGAAAGTCGCTGCAACGTGTGATCCGGTCTGAACCCTGAGGATCGAGTCTTCTGACCCTGTCCCTTTGTAAAGCGTCTTTGAGAGTCCAAAAAGTGCCATAAAAGTACCGTGTGTTATTATTCTGATGAGAGGCACAATCATGAGAGTGTATTTCCCTCTTCTGCCACCAGGGGTTGAACTCACCGATGTAGAACGGGTCATCTGCCACCGGGCCGCAGGGCCGTCTGGGCACGAGCTCGTCTGGTTCTGAGGGCGGGGGCTCGTAGTCCTGGTCCTGGTCCGAATTCTGGTCCTGGGTCCAGCTCTGGGTCCGGCTCGGGGCTTGCCCTGGACCTGACTCGTCACTGGGCTCTTCGTAATCGCTCTTATCTTCATCACTGGACAGCGGCTCTGTGTAATCGTCGTCGTCCGAGTCATCCTGTTTTAATATCAGTGAAATTAAATCATTCATAAGACATGTTTAAATCTGTCTAATGTTTAAAGTGAAACTAGACTTGATTTTCTGGCTGTAATAATCCTGTCGTCGCTCATGTGTCAAAGAGCGTGTGCTGCTCTTTCTTTTATAAAGTTGGAAAGTCCTATGGTTTTTTTTTTTTTCTTCTTTTTATTTACAAGATAAAATAACGAGACAAACTTCAAAACCCCCCACCCAAACCCAGCCACTCCCTCTTTGCATTCATACCACAATCACAACCACAATCATCCACACATTCTTAGTATTTTGAACAGAGACTATAGACAAAAAAGAAGCACAAAGCAAAAGAAAATAATAACATAGAAAATGAGAAATAAAATAAAGTCACTAATACCAATCAAAATCCATAAACAAAATACAATATAATTAGCAAAACATTTACGACATAACAAATGGCGTAGCAAGTACACCTAATATTTATATCTCTAACTCAGGTAAGCAGACATTCCATTTCTTTTCATGCTCAATTATTCTGTTATTTGTTGCTATAATTGTTTCTAACATATACTGATGATAAACTCTATTCTTAAAGTGTTTTATACATAAATTTGATACATTTTTAGCTTTAAAAATAAACATTTTACCCATCAGAATAATCATATTCAAAAGGTATGTGCATTTACCCTCAAAAATACATAACACAATATTCTGAGGTGTAATTTGCAAAGCAATACCCATAGACCTTAACCATAACTGTACACTGACCCAAAACTTAGCCACATGTGAACAAAAATAAAACAAATGCATCAGGTCCTCCTCCTCATCCCCACAGAACCTGCAACAGGGATCCTTTTCTATCTGCCATTTGAACAGAGATTTTTTTGTTGCAATAATTTTATAAAAGATTTTAAGTTGAAATATCCTGGAATATGAATCTATTGTAGTTCTATAAATTGTTCTAAAGTAATCTTTCCACAAAATTGGATCATTGAATTCATTTTCCCAAAACAGGCAGATTCTGTGTGGAAAAAGTGCGGTGCCTGTGATATTTACATTCCACATATATATTATTTTATTTATTTTGGCACCAGACAGCCATTTTGGGCATCTTATTACCGGGAGACAAACCATCAACTTATTCCTACAATTTTGCAATTTTCTTTTCCAAGTTTTAGGAATTGCAGAAATCAGCTGGTTGTATTGTTCCAAGTGGATGAGAAACTCTCTCTGGTCTCTGTCTGATCTAGTCCCTGTATCTCTAGGTCTCTTTTATCTCTCTTCTCTCTCTGGTTTCGCTCTAGTCTCTCTCTATTCTCTCTTTGGTCTCTCTCTGGTCTCTATTCTCTCTCTTGTCTCTCTCTGGTTTCTCTCTTGTCTCGTTCTAGTTTCTATCTGGTGTCTCTCTAGTCTCTCTGGAATCTCTCTAGTATCTCTCTAATTAGTAGTAGTAGTAAGTAATCTTTATTTATATACCGCCTTTTCACTGCACATCGGAGTCTCAAAGCGGTTTACAATTATGATTTTTGGGAGTGGGGGTCGCCAGTACAGGAGGCACATGCCAGACCTATTGTACATATTTTTAGTGGTAGGGGAAACCGGAGTACCCGGAGGAAACCTACGCAGACACGGGGAGAACATGCAAACTCCACTCAGAAAGGCCCTGGACCTTCTTGCTGAGAGGCGAGAGTGCTATCCACTCAGCCACTCGTTCTAGTTCCTCTATAGCCTCTCTCTGGTCTCTCCCTGGTTTCTCTCTCTAGTAGTCTCTCTATAGTCTCTCTCTGGTCTCTCTCTGGTCTCTCTCTGGTCTCTCTCTGGTCTCTCTCTGGTCTCTCTCTGGTCTCTCCCTGGTCTCTCTCACTCTTGGTCTACTGTGCACTTACAAATTCGTCTCGGCCCCAGCCTCTGTCTTCTGACTCTGCTTCCACTAAAAACAAGATTAAGATGAGTTTGAACAGTTCGCAAGGCTTACTTCTCCGCAGACGTTACCTGGTTGCAGGGGTTTGGACTGACCGAAGCTGGAAGGACAAAAACATGGAGTAAAATTGTGAAAAACTGGTATTAACAAAATCGTAAACTCACCCAAAGAACCGCCGCTTCCCGCTCTTCTGCTTCTGAATGTCAGCGATCAGCTTCGAGATCAGTCTGAGAATAAAGACTTCAGTCACTAGAACCAGTGATGAATCATCTCTCTCTGGTCTTTCTCTGGTCCCTCACTCTGGTCTGTCTTTGGTCTCTGTCTTTGGTCTCTCTCTTTGGTCTTTCTCTCTGGTCTTTCTCTGGTCCCTCTCTCTGGTCTCTCTCTGGTCCCTCTCTCTGGTCTCTCTCCTTGGTCTTTCTCTGGTCTCTCTTTCCGTTCTCTCCGGTCTCCCTTTGGTCTCTCTTTTGCCTCTCTTTGGTTTTTATCTGGTCTCTCTCTCTGGTCTTTCCCTCTGGTCTCTCAGGTCTACAGCAGGTCTACAGCAGGTCTACAGCAGGTCTACAGCAGGGCTTTAGGTCACGTCCCTTTAAGGCGTTGAAACACTGATGATGAACTTCTACTGGAGACACTTACGGATTGTAGGTTTTGGGGAATTTATCCAGGTCGCTGTTGGTTAAGTTCTATAGGAAAGATTAAATGAAAGAATGAATGAATGTCTAGAAAGAGGACAAGAGAAAGAGAGAGAGAGATATTAGACCAGGCAGAGAGACTAGAGAGAGAGAGAGACCAGGGAGAAAAATCAGAGAGAAAGAGACCAGAGAGAGAGACCAGACAGAGAGACTAAGAGAGATACCAGAGAGAGGGATAGAGACCAGAGAGAGAAAGGTCTGCTGACCAGGAACCGATCCCCGGTGATGTGGTGGAGGAGGACCGCCCTGTCACAGCCCTGGAGTTTCCTCTGCCACAAAACATGAAATAATTATGAATATGTGACGGGACATAGAACCAACAACCACAGAAACACGGCCTCTGAGCAAGACACCTCTGAGCAGCACAACTTCAAACATGAAAATAGGAAGATATGAAAACAGGAAACAGTGTGGACTGAGATAAAACCATCGACTGTAAATATTAGCGGACGCAGTGACGCTAATTTCCTCTGTTGACATTTTCAGTGTGATCACCGTGGACCTTTTCAAAATGGCCACGAGCAGCCCCTCCCACTGGAAAATGGTGGAAAAACACTTTAGACCTGACTTTTGGACCAAGCTGTAAAATTGTCTTTGAGAGGAAAAAAATGCAGCCATAAGAATGCATTGGATAATTCTGTTTCCAGGTACACCCCCACCGGCAAGGAGCCAGACTGTAAGTATGTTTGCAAATGTTCTCGTGGATCTCTTTGAGCCTGTATCAGCCCCCACTGAATAAAACGGATGTATAGAGACACATGTACAGGACTAAAGCAGGTCTAAAGCAGGACTAAAGCAGGACTAAAGCAGGACTAAAGCGGGACTAAAGCAGGTCTAAAGCAGGACTAAAGCAGGACTAAAGCAGGTCTAAAGCAGGACTAAAGCAGGACTAAAGCAGGTCTAAAGCAGGACTAAAGCAGGACTAAAGCAGGTCTAAAGCAGGACTAAAGCAGGACTAAAGCAGCTCTAAAGGAAGTCTAAAGTAGATTTAGAGTTTGCAAGCAGGTATAAAACAGGACTAAAGCAGAACTAAAACAGGACTAAAGCGGGTTTAAAGTAGGACTAAAGCGGGTCTAAAGCAGGACTAATCACGACTAAAGCAGGTCTAAAGGAAGTCTAAAGTAAGTCTATAGGAGGTCTAAAGCAGGACTGAAGCAGGTCTAGGGCAGGACTAAAGCAGGTCTAAAGCAGGACTAAACGAGGTCTAAAGCAGGACTAAAGGAAGTCTAAAGTAGGTCCAAAGTTGATCTAAAGGAGGTCTCAAGCAGGTCTAAAAGCAGGACTTAAGCAGGCCTAAAACAGGACTAAAGCAGGTCGAAAACAGGACTAAAGCAGGTCTAAAACAGGACTAAAAGAGTACTTCTCACCTTCCTGAGGAAGTCTGCGAGTTTCTCTGGACCCCAGCCACTGAGCTCAGAGCTGGTGGGAAGTTGGTTCTGACTCATTGTGGTCCGTAAACAAACCCAGGACAAAACCAAGTCTAAAGCAGAACTGAACTAGGCCTAAACCAGGTCTAAAGCAGAACAATAGTGATCGAAATACAGACACAATTCTTGTAATAGTTCTAAACCAGGGCTAATCCTAGAGTGAACCCAGGACTCAACTCTCAGGATGAACCCGGTCTAGACCTCGTGCCAAAGACTAAATGTCAAAATGTCCTCAATTTGAAGTTTAGAGGAAGTGAGAGAGAGACGGGGGTGAGAGAGACAGAGAGACGGGGAGAGAGAGGGAGTGGAAAGAGAGATACCACAGAGGAAGTGAAGCAGCTGCATGTATAACAGATAGTACTGCAGAAAGTACTACTACTAAAGTACTATCTCAGATTACTAGACTGCATCGTGTAACAAGGTACCACTACACTCAACAACAGATCAGTTCCCTCATTAGGGTCCCTCAGGGGTCCTTCTGCTGTTCCCTGCTGTTCACAAGCAGAATTAGAAATAAATAAGCGATAGAACAAATTATTTAAAAATCAAAAACCTTTATTAAAATCATAATTAAAATAACTCAAATTCACAACAGTCAAAATATTCAACATAAAGAGTCGCGACATGAGAGTTTTAACGTGTATTTTGAGTTCAGATGTCCTCTTTCTCCTACTTTAAAGATGATACCTGTTAAAGACCAGGTGAATGCTGTGATGTCACATGTGTGCAGTAAAACCCGGAGGCAGAAGCTCGTAGCCATTCACTAAAGTCCACTGAAACTGATCTTTGGAGAAGCTGAGTCATGAGTCTAATACTGGTGAGTTTAGTCTGCAGTACAGCGATCCACCACCAGGGGGCATTTCCTCTGGTTAGCTTGAGCAGACCATAGAACCATGTAGTTTATGCATTTTCCTCAGATGGAGCTGAAGGACACACAGCTTCTGTTCTCCGGGCTTCAAACGCCGTGTCAGCTGTCTCTACCGTTTTAAACCCGGGTCACTGTGTACTTTTTAAACTCACTAAATTAATCAGAAAATGAGTAAAGGTTTATGGGAATGTGTGGTCTTTAACCCTTGTGCTATCCTCCAGTCAAAATGGCCGCCATCTAAAAATGGGTTTAAATAACCTAGGGCCTGTCAAGTTAGGAAATATCTAGGGTATTTAGGGTATTTTTTTGTGGCGGGTCAATTTGACTCAAGGGTAGCACAAGAAATAAACACGAAAGAGGAAGTCTAAGAAAGTCTGTCAGAATGCACCAAAGAGTTATTCTCAGAAGCTTTAGTTCCTGTGTAGAAACCACTAGACTGAGCCGAGGAACTGGCCAGATCTGTGGAGAGGCGAGCGAGTGGAGGATCCTCAGACTGTGATGGAGCTTCTGACTGTTAAAACTTGTAAATGAGCTTTGGGACTTTCTCCGGTGAAGTGAAACTCTTCACACACGGTTCACAGAGACTTACAATGCCTCCATCTGGTGGTGGGAGTCACACATTACACCATGAGAATCCTACGTCTGCACTTTTCTCCAAATAGTGACATAGATCCACGGTTAGGTTCCCCAGCTTTAAAGTGAAAGACTTTCCAGCTACAAGTGTCATAGGATAAAGTTTCTGCCAGGGCAGGGTCTCTCCCTCCCCCTGGTCTCTCTCTCTCCCTGGTCTCTCTCTTTCCCTGGTCTCTCTCTCTCTCTCCCTGGTCTCTCTCTCTCTCCCCCTGGTCTCTCTCTCTCTCCCCCTGGTCTCTCTCTGGTACTGGTCAGTGGTGCTTCTTGCTGGTCCCAAACCCAGTGAAGCCCATGATGGCCGCCATCTCGTCATCGTCCTCCAGGTCCACGTCGTCTTCTGCTCGTCGCTTTCTCTCTTTTAGCTTCTCCTTCTTGTAGGCTTTGGCCTTCTCCTCCTGAGGAAAAGAAACACTCTGCTTTAAACGGAGCCTTAAAGCTGAGGTATGGCAACTTTAAAGCTCCTCCCTCAGCTCCTTCATGCTCCCCGCTGCTCCCTGATGACACTGACCTCCTCCCTGCTGCTCCCTGATGACACTGACCTCCTCCCCGCTCCTCCCTGATGACACTGACCTCCTCCCTGCTGCTCCCTGATGACACTGACCTCCTCCCTGCTGCTCCCTGATGACACTGACCTCCTCCCTGCTGCTCCCTGATGACACTGACCTCCTCCCTGCTGCTCCCTGATGACACTGACCTCCTCCCTGCTGCTCCCTGATGACACTGACCTCCTCCCTGCTGCTCCCTGATGAGTGACCTCCTCTCTGCTGCTTCCTGATGACACTGACCTCCTCCCTGATGACACCGACCTCCTCCCTGATGACAGTGACTTACTCCCTGATGACAGTGACCTCCTCCCTGCTGCTCCCTGATGACACTGACCTCCTCTCTGCTGCTCCCTGATGAGTGACGACCTCTCTGCTGCTTCCTGATGACACCGACCTCCTCCCTGCTGTTTCCTGATGACACCGACCTCCTCCCTGCTGCTCCCTGATGACACTGACCTACCCTGCTGCTCCCTGATCTCCTCCCTGCTGCTCCCTGATGACAGTGACCTCTCTAATGCTCCTTGATGACAGTGACCTCCTCCCTGCTGCTCCCTGATGACACTGACCTCCTCCCTGCTGCTCCCTGATGAGTGACCTCCTCTCTGCTGCTTCCTGATGACACCGACCTCCTCCCTGCTGCTCCCTGGTGACACTGACCTAGTCCTTGATGACACTGACCTCCTCTCTGCTGCTCCCTGATGACAGTGACCTCTCTAATGCTCCTTGATGACAGTGACCTCCTCCCTGCTGCTCCCTGATGACACTGACCTCCTCCCTGCTGCTCCCTGATGAGTGACCTCCTCTCTGCTGCTTCCTGATGACACCGACCTCCTCCCTGCTGCTCCCTGGTGACACTGACCTAGTCCCTGATGACACTGACCTCCTCTCTGCTGCTCCCTGATGACAGTGACCTCCTCTCTGCTGCTTCCTGATGACACTGACCTCCTCCCTGCTGCTCCCTGATGACACTGACCTCCTCCCTGCTGCTCCCTGATGAGTGACCTCCTCTCTGCTGCTTCCTGATGACACCGACCTCCTCCCTGCTGCTCCCTGGTGACACTGACCTAGTCCCTGATGACACTGACCTCCTCTCTGCTGCTCCCTGATGACAGTGACCTCCTCTCTGCTGCTTCCTGATGACACCGACCTCCTCCCTGCTGCTCCCTGATGACAGTGACCTCTCTAATGCTCCTTGATGACAGTGACCTCCTCCCTGCTGCTCCCTGATGACACTGACCTCCTCCCTGCTGCTCCCTGATGAGTGACCTCCTCTCTGCTGCTTCCTGATGACACCGACCTCCTCCCTGCTGCTCCCTGGTGACACTGACCTAGTCCCTGATGACACTGACCTCCTCTCTGCTGCTCCCTGATGACAGTGACCTCCTCTCTGCTGCTTCCTGATGACACCGACCTCCTCCCTGCTGCTCCCTGATGACACTGACCTCCTCCCTGCTGCTCCCTGATGAGTGACCTCCTCTCTGCTGCTTCCTGATGACACCGACCTCCTCCCTGCTGCTCCCTGGTGACACTGACCTAGTCCCTGATGACACTGACCTCCTCTCTGCTGCTCCCTGATGACAGTGACCTCCTCTCTGCTGCTTCCTGATGACACCGACCTCCTCCCTGCTGCTCCCTGATGACACTGACCTCCTCCCTGCTGCTCCCTCATGACACTGATCTCCTCCCTGCTGCTCCCTGATGACACCAACCTCCTCCCTGCTGCTCCCTGATGACACTGACCTCCTCCCTGCTGCTCCCTCATGACACCGACCTCCTCCCTGCTGCTCCCTCATGACACTGACCTCCTCCCTGCTGCTCCGATGACACTGACCTCCTCCCTGCTGCTCCCTCATGACACCGACCTCCTCCCTGCTGCTCCCTGATGACACCGACCTCCTCCCTGCTGCTCCCTGATGACACCGACCTCCTCCCTGCTGCTCCCTCATGACACTGACCTCCTCCCTGCTGCTCCCTGATGACACTGACCTCCTCCCTGCTGCTCCCTCATGACACTGACCTCCTCCCTGCTGCTCCCTCATGACACCGACCTCCTCCCTGCTGCTCCTTGATGACACTGACCTCCTCCCTGCTGCTCCCTGATGACACCGACCTCCTCCCTGCTGCTCCCTGATGACACTGACCTCCTCCCTGCTGCTCCCTCATGACACCGACCTCCTCCCTGCTGCTCCCTCATGACACCGACCTCCTCCCTGCTGCTCCCTCATGACACTGACCTCCTCCCTGCTGCTCCCTGATGACACTGACCTAGTCCCTGATGACACTGACCTCCTCCCTGCTGCTCCCTCATGACACCGACCTCCTCCCTGCTGCTCCCTCATGACACTGACCTCCTCCCTGCTGCTCCCTGGTGACACTGACCTAGTCCCTGATGACACCGACCTCCTCTCTGCTGCTCCCTGATGACACTGACCTCCTCCCTGCTGCTCCCTCATGATGCCGACCTCCTCCCTGCTGCTCCCTGATGACACTGACCTCCTCCCTGCTGCTCCCTCATGACACCGACCTCCTCCCTGCTGCTCCCTCATGACACTGACCTCCTCCCTGCTGCTCCCTGATGACACTGACCTCCTCCCTGCTGCTCCCTGATGACACCGACCTCCTCCCTGCTGCTCCCTGATGACACTGACCTCCTCCCTGCTGCTCCCTGATGACACTGACCTAGTCCCTGATGACACTGACCTCCCCCCTGCTGCTCCCTCATGACACCGACCTCCTCCCTGCTGCTCCCTGGTGACACTGACCTAGTCCCTGATGACACTGACCTCCTCTCTGCTGCTCCCTGATGACACTGACCTCCTCCCTGCTGCTCCCTCATGACGCCGACCTCCTCCCTGCTGCTCCCTGATGACACTGACCTCCTCCCTGCTGCTCCCTCATGACACCGACCTCCTCCCTGCTGCTCCCTCATGACACTGACCTCCTCCCTGCTGCTCCCTGATGACACCGACCTCCTCCCTGCTGCTCCCTGATGACACTGACCTCCTCCCTGCTGCTCCCTCATGACACTGACCTCCTCCCTGCTGCTCCCTCGTGACACTGACCTCCTCCCTGCTGCTCCCTCATGACACCGACCTCCTCCCTGCTGCTCCCTCATGACACTGACCTCCTCCCTGCTGCTCCCTGATGACACCGACCTCCTCCCTGCTGCTCCCTCATGACACTGACCTCCTCCCTGCTGCTCCCTCATGACACTGACCTCCTCCCTGCTGCTCCCTCGTGACACTGACCTCCTCCCTGCTGCTCCCTGATGACACTGACCTCCTCCCTGCTGCTCCCTCATGACACTGACCTCCTCCCTACTGCTCCCTGATGACACTGACCTCCTCCCTGCTGCTCCCTGATGACAGTGACCTCCTCTCTGCTGCTCCCTGATGACACCGACCCCCTCTCTGCTGCTCCCTGATGACACCGACCCCCTCTCTGCTGCTCCCTGATGACACCGACCCCCTCCCTGCTGCTCCCTGATGACACTGACCTCCTCCCTGCTGCTCCCTCATGACACTGACCTCCTCCCTGCTGCTCCCTCATGACACTGACCTCCTCCCTACTGCTCCCTGATGACACTGACCCCCTCCCTGCTGCTCCCTGATGACACTGACCTCCTCCCTGCTGCTCCCTGATGACACTGACCTCCTCCCTGCTGCTCCCTCATGACACTGACCTCCTCCCTACTGCTCCCTGATGACACTGACCTCCTCCCTGCTGCTCCCTGATGACACCGACCTCCTCCCTGCTGCTCCCTCATGACACTGACCTCCTCCCTGCTGCTCCCTCTTGACACTGACCTAGTCCCTGATGACACTGATCTCCTCCCTGCTGCTCCCTCATGACACAGACCTCCTCCCTGCTGCTCCCTCATGACACCGACCTCCTCCCTGCTGCTCCCTCATGACACCGACCTCCTCCCTGCTGCTCCCTCATGACACCGACCCCCTCTCTGCTGCTCCCTGATGACACTGACCTCCTCTCTGCTGCTCCCTGATGACACCGACCCCCTCTCTGCTGCTCCCTGATGACACCGACCCCCTCTCTGCTGCTCCCTGATGACACTGACCTCCTCTCTGCTGCTCCCTGATGACACCGACCCCCTCTCTGCTGCTCCCTGATGACACCGACCCCCTCACTGCTGCTCCCTGATGACACTGACCCCCTCTCTGCTGCTCCCTGATGACACCGACCCCCTCTCTGCTGCTCCCTGATGACACCGACCCCCTCTCTGCTGCTCCCTGATGACACTGACCTCCTCCCTGCTGCTCCCTGATGACACTGACCTCCTCCCTGCTGCTCCCTGATGACACCGACCTCCTCCCTGCTGCTCCCTGATGACACTGACCTCCTCCCTGATGACACCGACCTCCTCCCTGCTGCTCCCTGATGACACTGACCTCCTCCCTGATGACACTGACCTCCTCCCTGCTGCTCCGATGACACCGACCTCCTCCCTGCTGCTCCCTGATGACACTGACCTCCTCCCTGCTGCTCCGATGACACCGACCTCCTCCCTGCTGCTCCCTGATGACACTGACCTCCTCCCTGCTGCTCCGATGACACCGACCTCCTCCCTGCTGCTCCCTGATGACACTGATCTCCTCCCTGCTGCTCCCTGATGACACTGATCTCCTCCCTGCTGCTCCCTGATGACACTGACCTCCTCCCTGCTGCTCCCTGGTGACACTGACCTCCTCCCTGCTGCTCACTCATGACACTGACCTCCTCCCTGCTGCTCCCTGATGACACTGACCTCCTCCCTGCTGCTCACTCATGACACTGACCTCCTCCCTGCTACTCCCACATGACACTGACCTCCTCTCGCAGCTCCTTCATGCGCTCCTCAAAGTCGTACTCCTTCTGTTTTTCCTCCATCTTCTTTTTATTTGCCTCAAATCGTTTCTTCACTTGATCCAGAGACGAGCGCTCCACCCGCATAGACATGCCCAGGTTCCTCTGGTCTGAGACACGCACACAAATATATACATATGCACACATATACACACATATACATACACACAAGATTATATATGCACACATATACATACACACAAGATTATATATGCACAGATATACATACACCCATCCATCCATCCATTTTCTTCCCTTTAATCCATTTCTGGGTCAGGGGGGTGGCAGTCAGAGATGCCACCCAAGTCTCATAGCACCAGCCCCTCACTGACCCTCTGCAGGTGGTGAGTCCACAGGAGGACGGCTGCTCTCTGAGTGTGAGCATAGCCTTGATCTTTCAGTGGGGGCTTTGGGCAAAGTGGGGTTAAGTGTCTTGCCCAAGGACACAACGACAGCAGTCATCAGTGGGAGTCGGTGGAGAAGGTGCAGAGGTGGGAATTGAACCCACGACCTTCTGGCCTTAAGGCCAATGCTCTACCAACTGAGCTACTGTCGCCCCATATACATACACACAAGATTATATATGCACACATATACATACACACAAGATTATATATGCACACATATACATACACACAAGATTATACATGCACACATATACATACACACAAGATTATACATGCACACATATACATACACACAAGATTATATATGCACACATATACATACACACAAGATTATATATGCACACATATACATACACACAAGATTATATATGCACACATATACATACACACAAGATTATATATGCACACATATACATACACACAAGATTATATATGCACACCTATACATACACACAAGATTATATATGCACACCTATACATACACACAAGATTATATATGCATACATATACATACACACAAGATTATATATGCACACATATACATACACACAAGATTATATATGCACAGGAGATTATAAATGCACACATAATAATTTACTTGCACAGTTCCTGCTGTGACCAGCAGAGGGAGTGGTTCACTCACGTTTCTTTCCATTGATGTGATCGAGGAAATTGATGGAGTCTTTGACCACGCAGTCACACACGTTACAATAGTATCTGAAAAACAACTTCAGTGAGACCAGAGACAGAGACCAGAGGGACCAGAGAGGGACCGGAGAAAGAGACCAGAGAGGGACCAGAGAGAGACCAGAGAGAGACCAGAGAGGGACCAGAGAGAGACCAGAGAGGGACCAGAGAGAGACCAGAGAGAGACCAGAGAGAGACCAGAGAGGGACCAGAGAGAGACCAGAGAGAGACCAGAGAGAGACCAGATAGAGACCAGAGAGAGACCAGAGAGACCAGAGAGGAGTGAGAAGCAGGAGGAGTGGGTGAGGAGCAGAGAGAGGAGCTGTGTCTCTCACCCGCCCATCTCGGCCTGAGGCGTGGTCTTGGTGATCACAATGGTCTTCCCCAGTTTGGACTCCAGATCCACTTTGTAGTCTCTGTGTTTGAGATTGTCCCGTTTGACTGGAGGAGCGAGAGCTTTGGCTGAAACACACACACGTCCTCTTTATTTATATGGCACATTTCACACACTCAAAGCACTTTGCAGAGAGAGACTAGAGAGAGAGGCCAGAGAGAGAGAACAGAGATAGACCGGAGAGAGAGACCAGAGAGAGAGACGGGAGAGAGACCAGAGATTGACCAGAGAGAGACGAGAGATAGACCAGAGAGAGACGAGAGATAGACCAGAGAGAGAGACAGGAGAGAGAGACCAGAGATTGACCAGAGAAAGACCAGAGAGAGAGAGGGGAGAGAGAGATAAGAGAGAGACCAGAGAGAGAGACCAGAGAGAGAGAACAGAGAGAGAGACCAGAGAGGCCAGAAAGAGAGAGACCAGAGAGAGACCAGAGAGAGAGGCCAGAGAGAGACCAGAGAGAGAGGCCAGAGAGAGAGACCAGAGAGAGACCAGAGAGAGACCGGAGAGAGACCAGAGATTGACCAGAGATAGACCAGAGAGAGAGACCAGAGAGAGAGAACAGAGAGAGAGACCAGAGAGAGGCCAGAGAGAGAGAGACCAGAGAGAGAGAGACCAGACAGAGACCAGAGAGAGAGAGACCAGGTCTGTCATGGAACCACCAATGGACTCACCGTCGCGGTTGCGCTCTCGCTCGCGCTCCTCGTTCAGCCGTTTTTGGGCCATGTTCTCGTACTCGTCTTTGTCCCATTTTCTCCTGAAGTCGTTTCCTTTGGACTGAGACAGAAAAGAACAGATTGGAGCAGTCAAGGCGATGTGATATGAAGTATGTTTAAAAAGACTCACAGGCACATTGAAAAACACACATAAGACAGTAACAGACATAAACAATCACCTGCAAAAAGTCGGATTTGTTACAGAATAAACGTAACCATTTTAGATCAGAAACCCCCAGAGAGCAAGAGAGAGACCAGACGCCACACGCTGGAGCAGGTGACGAAACAAAACAAGCAGAAGATGAAGAGACAAATACAGACAGGAGCTTGTTCCCAAAATACCCTTTACCTCTGGAATTTGGGACTACTTCGGATTCACAGAAACAAGTTATTTGCAAGTCATGCCAAAAGACAGTCGCTACGTCGAAGGGAAACACGACAGACCTCCAGAGCCACCTCCAGCACCGTAACCACAGTAACCACTGTAACCACCGTAACCACCGTAACCACCGTAACCACCGTAACCACCGTAACCACCGTAACCACCGTAACCACCGTAACCACTGTAACCACAGTAACCACTGTAACCACCGTAACCACCGTAACCACCGTAACCACCGTAACCACAGTAACCACCGTAACCACCGTAACCACCGTAACCACCGTAACCACAGTAACCACAGTAACCACCGTAACCACCGTAACCACAGTAACCACAGTAACCACAGTAACCACTGTAACCACCGTAACCACAAGGTACTTCATGCTGTGTATTTAAATATACAACTCCACAGCCGACTCTGGTCAAATGAATGGCAAATGTGTAAACGAGCATTAATGAGAGTTTCACTTCTGTCGCTCCTTATGAGAAAACGTCCAAGCAACACAAAGCTTTAACTGCGGCCATTCCGCGATATATAGCAAAGTGCAGACACTCCGTTAATACTGTGTGTAAAGAGGTTTTTTTGGGCCTGGCAAAGGAGTTGGACCGGAGATATCTTTAGTCTTGCCAGGTACAAAAACTGAATATTGATGTGTTTGGAAAATGATTGCCATTTTTTGTCTGCAGAATTATGGAATTGGAAACTTTCGGCAAGATTTGAGGTCAATATGTGCCATTCTGTATTGTAAAGTAATTCATGTTTTTAATAAGAGATTTTTCTCTTGCGATTCAATGCAGATGTGGAAGACTAAACTATCGCAGTAATATCGTTATCGAAATACTAAACCCATATCGAATATCACTCTAATTTCCAATATCGTGCAGCCCTGAGAGAGAGAGAGAGAGAGAGAGAGAGATTTGATCCATTGACAAATCTTCAACACAAACGCTACATTTTCTATAATTGTGAAAGCTCCATTTTTCAGTTGTTAGTTACTTTGTTGAAAAATATCAAAATACAAATCTTTAGTTCATGCAAACATTAAGGTTGTATTGGTACATTTACACACATCCTCATATTGTCTGTGTGTTTCTTTTCGCGTTAAAGGCAGTAAAAGCAGCTCAAGTCTCTGATTTGTTGTGCGTTAGCATGGAGCTAGCAGTAGCGGCTAAATGTGCTAATGCTAAAAGGCGACAGCTCAGTCCTCTCGCTCTATTTGATAAACATGGATCCAGTTTGAGTCACGTGTGAGGAGCCTCCATAACAAACACACGGAGAGTCAGGCAAAAGTATAAATACATAGAATTACCCCGCTACCACCACCACCACCGCTGCTGCTGCCGCTGCCGGACGCCATCTTGTCTGTTTACTGCGCCTCGGAACACGGCTGTCGTAAAACGTCGTAAAACACGGATCGTTCCAAAGAGACCAGAGAGAAACCAGAGAGAGAGAGAGGGAGGGAGAGGGAGATTTATTTGAAAATGAGTTTATTGTTTTCTTCAGTTTTTTTTCAGAAGAAAACAATTGGATCCGTTTCCTTCAGACCGCAACGATGGAACTGTCATAAACACACGTCTTTAGTTCCTCGCTCTAAAATATCTTTCATCACCAGTTTAGAGAGAGAGAAAGAGAGCAGAGAGAAATATCAGAGAGATACCAGAGAACGGGTGACTAGAGAGAGAGAGAGAGAGAGAGACTAGAGAGAGACTAGAGAGAGAGAGAGAGAGACTAGAGAGAGAGAGAGAGAGAGAGACTAGAGAGAGAGAGACTAGAGAGAGACTAGAGAGAGAGAGAGACTACAGAGAGAGAGAGAGAGACTAGAGAGAGAGAGACTAGAGAGAGACTAGAGATAGAGAGACTAGAGAGAGACTAGAGAGAGACTAGAGAGAGAGAGAGAGAGAGAGACTAGAGAGAGAGAGACTAGAGAGAGAGACTAGAGAGAGACTAGAGAAGAGAGAGACTAGAGAGAGAGAGACTAGAGAGAGACTAGAGAGAGAGAGAGAGAGACTAGAGAGAGACTAGAGAGAGACTACAGAGAGAGAGAGACTAGAGAGAGAGAGAGAGAGAGAGAGACTAGAGAGAGAGAGAGACTAGAGAGAGAGAGACTAGAGAGAGACTAGAGAGAGAGAGAGACTAGAGAGAGAGAGAGAGACTAGAGAGAGAGAGACTAGAGAGAGAGAGAGAGAGAGACTAGAGAGAGAGATACTAGAGAGAGAGACTAGAGAGAGACTAGAGAGAGAGAGACTAGAGAGAGAGACTAGAGAGAGACTAGAGAGAGAGAGAGAGAGACTAGAGAGAGACTAGAGAGAGAGAGAGAGAGACTAGAGAGAGAGAGAGAGACTAGAGAGAGACTAGAGAGAGACTACAGAGAGAGAGAGAGACTAGAGAGAGACTAGAGAGAGAGAGAGAGAGACCAGAGAGACTAGAGAGAGAGAGAGAGACTAGAGAGAGACTAGAGAGAGACTACAGAGAGAGAGAGAGAGACTAGAGAGAGACTAGAGAGAGAGAGAGAGACTAGAGAGAGACTACAGAGAGAGAGAGAGAGACTAGAGAGAGACTACAGAGAGAGAGAGAGACCTGGAGAGAGAGACTAGAGAGAGGTCTTGGTCTATTTCACATGCATGTGTTGATGCATGTGTTCTTTAGATCATCTTGTCCAGATAGAGAATGGAAAAGGAGAGTACCACACCATCAGCTCTCAGCCCAAAAAGGGAAATAGTGACGTGTTTTCTAATGAGATGAAGACAGAATGTCGTGGTCTGATACGTTCACATTTTACTTTTGGACAAACTCCCACGAATCATTGGAGACACAAAAAAGTTACGTTTTAATATTACAGCGTGTTTACCGTGCGAGGCCCCGCCCCCTCCGCACCTGCGCCTCATTAAAAACTGCACAGGTGAAACTATGGCGTCTGTCCCGTACGCGTCTGTGCCGTACGTGTGCTCTGATCCACGGCCCCCGGATCCACGATGTCCTACAGCCACGCACCAGTGTCCCCCGGTCCGCTGAACTCCTCCAGGTGAGTCCCCTGGGCCTCCCCCGGACCTCCACCCTCCAGACGCTACCACGGGTCGACATGGGCTGCATCCGAATTGGACGCACTTAAGTCTAGGTGTCTCATCTCCGGAGGAATAATATGTGGTAGTATTGTATTTAAGGGTTTACGATCGTAGTAAAACATAAGGGTTAAGACGACTGTTTAGAACAGTGTATTTAGTTACGTTTTGGGGATTGGCCCCCTGTAGCTAGTTTACAGGGGGACGAAATGCCAAGAAATTTGTATTTCCGAATTCCCCTTAAACGTCTCTTTCCTAGTCCGTCCTTTGTTGTGTTAAAACACCTTTTTGTGACAGCGGCTCCAGGATTGGTGACTACTACGTATAACATGCTGTGAATTTTTTAATGTCACACTGCTCCAATTTTATGCAACCAAGTTAAATAAAAAATAAGGATAAATGTGTAATGAATTTGGACGCAGACAAACGTTAAACTGGGGTCAATCATGTTTTTAACTCTACATTCGTTTGTAGAAGCCTGTCGATGGATACATTTGTTTATATATAGATGGAGTCTGCAGAGAAGTGGTCTCAACATGGGGTCCACAGGCCATTTGCGTCCTTCAAAAATATTCCCTCCTGTGGCGTATAAGCTTTTTAAAAATACTACAAATGTAAAGTTAGTTCTGCTTAGATCCTTTATTCGTAATTGTACCATGTGGAGAAATGTCAGTGTGTCATCACAAGTTACAGAACAGTGGAATGAGAAGCACACTGCACAAGATGCATCAAAATAAAGTATAACACTAATATTGCATGTTTTACATTGAAAAAAAATAGGCTTTATGATGAAAACAACCACAGCATTTATATTTCCATGAACACTGAACCCTAAATGCAGTCAGAATTAAAAGTAAACTAAAAGGTCTACAACACTGAACCTTCAGGCCTTTGGTCCAATTTTGTTTCAGTTCAAGAATATAACTAATAAACTCTGATAAATAAAAAATTGTCAAAATGCCGGTCTCTCTCTCGCGTCGTGTCCAGTTTGGTCTGACTGGTGGCGTCTCGCTGTTGTGTCTCCAGCGTGTGCCTCAGCCCTGGTCCCTGTCTCTGCTCTAAAGCCTGGAGCTCTGCGGTCTGGGACGTGGACTCCTCTGGACCCTGGAGCTCTGTGGGCTGGGAATCCTCCGGACCCCCCCCAGAGCCTTGGCTGCTGCCCGGCTGCTCCTCTGTGTACGACAGTCTGGTCAGGTGAGGATGGGGGAGACGTGGGGGCAGATCTGTAGGACTGGGTGAAGGAAAGTCCTCTTCTAAAAGTGAAAAATATAACCACTGTGGTATCAAAATCGATGACCTAATCTCTTTTTGTATATTTATATTTTTAATCAAAGAGACTAACTAGAAAGTATAATAAAAAGTTAAATGGGGGCAGTTTTGAGCAAAATTTGGTCTCAGGGTTCAGAAGGCTGTCCCCCAGATTGAGACCTGTTTATTTCCAACCTAATTAAAAATATGATTTTCTGTAATTCAGACATCACTAAGTTCTCTTCACATCTGCAAATGTGAAGAGCAGTATATCTGATCTAGGTTTTTTTTCTGTATATTTGTATGTCTGCAAAATGAATACATGAAAAACAAAGTACAGGTGCCTCTTTGACTCGTTGGCCTTTTCTCTGTTGCAGTAACGTGTCTCCGATCCCGTCTCCTCCGAGCTCTGGGACGAGAGCCGAGCGCGCCACCAAACCCCGACGGTAACATAGGGCAGGGCGGGGCCTTCTCTGGTCTCACTGTCATCTTATTGGACAGTTTACAAACCTCAACTGTAACTGGTGTGTCCTACAGGCCTTCGATCCTGGAGCGCTGCATCCTGAAAGTGTCCACGAGCAGTGTGGGCGTGGGGACGGAAGACCTGGACTCGAGGTGAGGGGCCAGAGTGTAGTTCTGTCTGTGTCCAGCAGAGGGGCCAGAGTGTAGTTCTGTCTGTGTCCAGCAGAGGGGCCAGAGTGTAGTTCTGTCTGTGTCCAGCAGAGGGGCCAGAGTGTAGTTCTGTCTGTGTCCAGCAGAGGGGCCAGAGTGTAGTTCTGTCTGTGTCCAGCAGAGGGGCCAGAGTGTAGTTCTGTCTGTGTCCAGCAGAGGGGCCAGAGTGTAGTTCTGTCTGTGTCCAGCAGAGGGGCCAGAGTGTAGTTCTGTCTGTGTCCAGCAGAGGGGCCAGAGTGTAGTTCTGTCTGTGTCCAGCAGAGGGGCCAGAGTGTAGTTCTGTCTGTGTCCAGCAGAGTGTAGTTCTGTCTGTGTCCAGCAGAGTGTAGTTCTGTCTGTGTCCAGCAGAGTAGTTCTGTCTGTGTCCAGCAGAGTAGTTCTGTCTGTGTCCAGCAGAGTAGTTCTGTCTGTGTCCAGCAGAGTAGTTCTGTCTGTGTCCAGCAGAGTGTAGTTCTGTCTGTGTCCAGCAGAGTGTAGTTCTGTCTGTGTCCAGCAGAGTGTAGTTCTGTCTGTGTCCAGCAGAGTGTAGTTCTGTCTGTGTCCAGCAGAGTGTAGTTCTGTCTGTGTCCAGCAGAGTGTAGTTCTGTCTGTGTCCAGCAGAGTGTAGTTCTGTCTGTGTCCAGCAGAGTGTAGTTCTGTCTGTGTCCAGCAGAGTGTAGTTCTGTCTGTGTCCAGCAGAGTGTAGTTCTGTCTGTGTCCAGCAGAGTGTAGTTCTGTCTGTGTCCAGCAGAGTGTAGTTCTGTCTGTGTCCAGCAGAGTGTAGTTCTGTCTGTGTCCAGCAGAGTGTAGTTCTGTCTGTGTCCAGCAGAGTGTAGTTCTGTCTGTGTCCAGCAGAGTGTAGTTCTGTCTGTGTCCAGCAGAGTGTAGTTCTGTCTGTGTCCAGCAGAGTGTAGTTCTGTCTGTGTCCAGCAGAGTGTAGTTCTGTCTGTGTCCAGCAGAGTGTAGTTCTGTCTGTGTCCAGCAGAGTGTAGTTCTGTCTGTGTCCAGCAGAGTGTAGTTCTGTCTGTGTCCAGCAGAGTGTAGTTCTGTCTGTGTCCAGCAGAGTGTAGTTCTGTCTGTGTCCAGCAGAGTGTAGTTCTGTCTGTGTCCAGCAGAGTGTAGTTCTGTCTGTGTCCAGCAGAGTGTAGTTCTGTCTGTGTCCAGCAGAGTGTAGTTCTGTCTGTGTCCAGCAGAGTGTAGTTCTGTCTGTGTCCAGCAGAGTGTAGTTCTGTCTGTGTCCAGCAGAGTGTAGTTCTGTCTGTGTCCAGCAGAGTGTAGTTCTGTCTGTGTCCAGCAGAGTGTAGTTCTGTCTGTGTCCAGCAGAGTGTAGTTCTGTCTGTGTCCAGCAGAGTGTAGTTCTGTCTGTGTCCAGCAGAGTGTAGTTCTGTCTGTGTCCAGCAGAGTGTAGTTCTGTCTGTGTCCAGCAGAGTGTAGTTCTGTCTGTGTCCAGCAGAGTGTAGTTCTGTCTGTGTCCAGCAGAGTGTAGTTCTGTCTGTGTCCAGCAGAGTGTAGTTCTGTCTGTGTCCAGCAGAGTGTAGTTCTGTCTGTGTCCAGCAGAGTGTAGTTCTGTCTGTGTCCAGCAGAGTGTAGTTCTGTCTGTGTCCAGCAGAGTGTAGTTCTGTCTGTGTCCAGCAGAGTGTAGTTCTGTCTGTGTCCAGCAGAGTGTAGTTCTGTCTGTGTCCAGCAGAGTGTAGTTCTGTCTGTGTCCAGCAGAGTGTAGTTCTGTCTGTGTCCAGCAGAGTGTAGTTCTGTCTGTGTCCAGCAGAGTGTAGTTCTGTCTGTGTCCAGCAGAGTGTAGTTCTGTCTGTGTCCAGCAGAGTGTAGTTCTGTCTGTGTCCAGCAGAGTGTAGTTCTGTCTGTGTCCAGCAGAGTGTAGTTCTGTGTGTGTCCAGCAGAGTGTAGTTCTGTGTGTGTCCAGCAGAGTGTAGTTCTGTGTGTGTGTCCAGCAGAGGGGGCAGTGTTTATTTTTTTTCTTTCAATGTACTGTGATTATGTTCATCCCTCAACTGCTTTGATCTGTCTGTGTAAAAAAGTATCTTGTGTCGGCAGAAGCATTTTTCAGTGTTTTGACGTTTTTAAATTCCATTGCAGGCCTCCAGGGGGGCGCTGTTTCCCTCGTCTTCCGGACTCCAATGTTGAAACGAATGGCGCCGTCCTGAAGCGGCGACAGAAGCAGATCCAGTACGGAAAAAACACATCAGGCTACGAGAGCTACCTGCGACAAGTGCCCAGGTACTGCCCCCTAGTGTCAGTAACTCTCCCTCCCCTGGTGAGAGTGGTACCTGCTCGACCTGATGCTAACACGGCCAACCTCGTGTTTCAGGCATCTGCGTGACCCGAAGCTTCACCCGTCGACTCCAAACAAACACCGGAAGTTCAGTCGGCGCTCGTGGGACATGCAGGTGCGGCTGTGGAGGAGAGCGCTGCACCTGTGGGACCCTCCTGGGGACCAACCCAAGGAGATGGACCCAGTGGACCAGCTGTGAGTGACACTTTGGGGGTGGGGGGGGGGGGGAACCGGACCAAGACATGTGTAAATCTTTGTGTGGGTCTTCAGGCAGAAGCAGCTGTCCTTGATGACCTCTGACGTCTGTGGGGACAAGCAGAGAGAGGCCCGTCACAGCTCCTCTGTCCCCCACTCCCCCCTTTCCCCCCAGGTGAGACGCCACAACCATCATGTGACATCACTACCTCACAAAGAGCCTATATGCTAACATCCCTGACTTTGCTCACATCATATCAAAGCTATTTACTCTGGTCTTGACGCTAGTCTTTGATTGGTCGTTCCAGGAGGTCCGCCCCCCGCCTGGCCTAGGCCCCTCCCTCATGAGTCAGCTGACTCTCGACGATCACATGACCCCTGACGATCACATGACTGACTGGCTGCAGCTGCTGATTCACGGGAACAGGGGTCAGTCCTCTCAGAATACATGTCCTTGTTTCTGATATATACTGTACGTGTGTCCCTGTCTCCGATGTATACAGTATAAAGTAGCTCAGTTGGTAGAGCATTGGCCTTTGAGCCAGAGGGTCGTGGGTTCAAGCCCGACCTTCACCATCGACTCCCACTGATATCTGCTGTCGTTGTGTCATTAGGCAAGACACTTCACCCCCATTGCCTAGAATGAGTCTGGTGTGTGTGTGAATGGTTGGTGGTGGTCGGCAGGACCGATGGCACATACTGGTTGCCTAGCTTCTGTCAGTGTGCCCCAGGGCAGCTGTGGCTACAGTAGTTTATCAACAGTGTTTGGAGTGGACGAATAATGACATGTGAAGCGTCTTTGAGTGTCCAAAAAAGCGCTATATTATAATACTAATAATACGTGTCTCTGGTGTATAGACGTGTCTCTGTCTCTGATGTATACGTGTCTCCCTGTCTCTGGTATATACTGTGTCCTTGTCTCCTCTTCTCAGACTTGTGCGCAGATGAGCAGCAAGTTCCTGTGATGTCGGACCACGGCTTCTGGACCCCATATTAGACCCGGACAAAGACCTGGCTCTGGACCTGAATCTTTTTTAAAAGCGGGTCTTAAGTCCTCTTTCTCTCCATGAAGCCGAACATTTACAGCTAGATTTCTCGCAATTTAAAGCACTCGTATTTGCAAAGGACTTTAAAGAGAAACGGTTGGTCTTTGGAATGCTCCGATGGAACCAGCTCATTCATTCACAAAATGTTTATTTTGCTCCTACATATTTCTTGTATATAGTAGATCCTTGAACATGACCTATTCTGCTTCCTCGGCGAATCAGAAATGTCCAGTTTCAAGATTCTGAGACGGAAGTGGATGGTTCTAGAACTGTTTAATCCCAGGGGAAGGTTCTGGATTGTCCTGAAGTTCAGCTGTTTTCTGTACACGTTAATATTTCTATGAATGTTTAATCTCACCCTTTCTGTTCGGAACTCCACGTTTTAAACTTGTGGCCAATCGCCTTCAGTTTTACCATGAATTACCCGGAGAGCCCGCCCCCTCTGCTGGCTGTCAGTCACCCGGGCGTGTCCTGGTGGGATGGGTCACGGTCACGCTAAGGGCACTAGGGGGCGCTGTTTGTACTTCACTACAGCCTTTATACAGGCTACTGTCCGCACGGAGGAAAACCTTTACTTTTACAGATTTAGTTTTTGTCGTTTTGTGGCGCTCGGAAAGAGCACTGACTGTGAAATTATTAATAAAGATATAAATAAAGTGAGAATAAAGCTTCATGTGTGTCGTTTCTAATATTAGGAGTGTGACATCACTAATACCTGAATGTGGAGGACGCTGATAATTCAAACATCTTTACCCTCTTGAGCTCAGGGCTGCAGAGAACGTTCATGTTTTTAAGGGGCTCAAGACATACCTTAGATTTGATTGAGTTTTATAGTTTTAGCATCCAGAGTGTTTCTTCTGGAGTCCTCTGCACCGGGGTCTGGCTCTTGGACCTGGTGGAGGTCTGGAGCCTCCTCTGGGTCTGTGGCTGCAGATGGCTCCTTAGATGGCAGTTCCATTGGTTAAATCTGCTCCCAGCCCTTTATCTTGACTTTATCTGATGCAAACATCACACCCTCCAGTCCTACAGCTCCACTGGCTCATCACATACGGTACAAAATTCTGCTTCTCACTTTCAAAGCCATCCACAACCTCGCTCCTCCATCTACCTGCTCCCGCCTCGTCACCATGAACACCCTCCCCATGACCTCTGACCCTCCACACTTCCAAACCTGTTCAGACCGGCCATTTTCAACTGTTTTTGCTTTTAACTTTGTACCTTTTGTAAGGCGTCCTTGAATTTAATGTGAGGTTTGGGGCGGGTGTTGGGTTCTGGGGTCATTGTCATGAGTTTTTCAACGGAAATGTAAAGCACTTTGGGTTGCATTTATTTGTTTGAAATTAACTTCAAAAATATGTGATTTGTGCATCTGTTGTGTCAGGGCTCTAAGCCAGAGGTGTCACTTTGGTTCTCAGAAAACGAAAGCAGAGAATGTAAAAAACCAATGCGTTTTAGATTTAACCTAAACTAAAAGTTAAACACATTGATTTAGATTTAATTGCCTCATGTGTTATTTCTTTTAAAAATATTTGTCCAATTTTATTGCCTTATCTTAAGACTATTTGATGTGTGCAATCTGAGTGCTCTTATGTCCTTTCTCTGCTGTAATGTGCGCAACAATGATACTGAAATGTCTCCATTGTGAGACGAATAAAGGAGTATCTTATCTTAGCAGCCCACTACCATCAACGCTGCAAATTAGTAATACAAAAAAAACCATTTAAAGGCGACATAAACTAGTCTTGCGGCCGGTTTGACCCACGAGTCTGAGTTTGACATGCCTGCTTTATGCATAACGTTTGCAAGGGTAAGCTGGAGTTTGTGAAGGTCTCTGGTTGATCCTTATACAACTCATCTAGATTTACAAAGACAATACCCCAATAAAAACACCAGGGAGCGCTAAAGCACAGATTTAAGGCCAAAAGGGCGAGTGTGACAGACTGTAACTGAGCTAGAGTTTACTTTTACAATTTAATAGGAGCCAGAGTTTGACTCAGACACCATTGTGCTTTATTGAGCTAGCTTGTTAGCATCGTCCATCTGTTTAGTCTATGGTTTCATGTTTTATGGTTCAAAACCATGTGTAGGCTACATGAGACTCTCCTGAACTCTGGAGATCAAGGAAACACATCGTTTAAATCATGGAGTATGTTTAATACATTGAAACAGAAAAACCCATTAAGCCCAGATTATACAGAACATGAATGTATATAAGAGTAAATGTATAAAACCCACAGAGGGGAAACAGGACAGTGCAGTTTTATCCACAGGGAATAAAACTGCAGTATAGTATATACGTATAATTGTATAGCATTTATAAGGCATTGGACCATTTTTTCTCCATTTCCATTCCATTTTCTTCTGCTTCATCTGTTGCCAGGTCGCGGGGGCAGCAGTCTAAGCAGAGACTCCAACTGAGGAAGGACCTCTCCACTTGGAGAGGGCAAGGCACATTATTCCGGTCGAGCACCATGGCCTCGGATTTGGAGCTGATTCTCATCTCAACCGCTTCACACTCGGCCGCAAACCGTCCCAGTGCATGTTGCAGGTCCTGGTTCATTGGAGAACCCCCCAAAGTACACCCCGGGGAACACGGTCGAACGCCTTCTCCAAATCCACACAGCACATGTGGACAGGTTGGGCGAACTCCCATGAACCCTCGAGTATCCGATGGAGAGTATAGAGCTGGTCCAGTGTTCCACGGCCGGGACGAAAACCACACTGCTCCTCCTGAATCAATTGTTTTCTCATTAAATCAAATTTTGAGCCAAATTAGTGAAACGGCCACGGCTGGTTTGTACATTTAAGAGATATTAGGATTTTTCCCTTGACATAGAATGGGGGGTGTTAATAAAATAAGGCATATGTCTTATTGACTTTATGAATCAGGATTCCGAAACTGCAACATTTCAAACATTTTGGAAAACCTAAATCACATTCTCCCCATGTAAATATTGACTTTTGCTTTACTTGAAAAAAAAGTATTGATACTTAATATATGGCTACATTACGCATTCTACAATTTCTGTTGAATGTTCATATTGATTATT